GATCAGTTCAGCAAATCGGATTTTTACCCGCCCATTACAGGTGCTATCGGACAAAAGACATTTATCAAGTGGTTTGAGAGAGTCTAGAAATTGTGAAGTAAACTCCATTGATAGCAGATATATACCCCTTTGCACAATGACTTGCTTCTGCTACAACAGCTCAAGGCTTATAAACAAGTGTGCAAGTGTTCCTGTAGATACATTGTGGAACCTCTTGCTAATTATCTGGAATTTGCAGGCTACTGTTTAAACCTGTACTTTTAAAAGCATTGCAACTTCAATTATATCTTTTTTTAATTACAGTACTACACAGATCTACTAGATGATTTGAAATACACAAACCGTACTATATTTATTGTTAAAAATATATTGTTTATTTTTGATATTTTTTATTATATTTATTTCATCACTCTTTTTTTGCTTTTTTTTTCTTTCACATCCAAAAGTAAACAAAACTCACCATTTACAAGGTGAAATGATGTTCTATATTCTATAAAGTAAGTTTCTTAATGAGGCTTTTAGTAATGAGTGTGACATAATTTGAACCCAGAAAAAATGACATAAAGGCTAGCATCTTGACCAGCATGCTACAGTACATATCTAAAAGTTATTACAAAAAGCAATTTGGGAATTGTTATTTTATAATGCGTTTGGCACAATCGTCCCAAAGGAATTGATTTACTGTGAATTAATTTTTTTAAAGAAAGGGAAATCAATTAAAACAATATTTTTATAATAATAAAGTTAGATTTCTATTTTTTTTATATAAAATGAAAAAAATAATCTATGTTTTATTGCCATTTGCTAGCAATCAGTACCAACAAAATGAGCAATTGTATCCCTTGGGGCTAGACGTTCAATCAAATCTAATTAAAGATGCGCGCTATTGTCTGCAGTACTAGGTTTTCTGGAGACGATTTGTATGGAGGGAGCAATACAAAATACCATGGATTTGTGGTTTATTGTGGTGTGACATTCCAATTTCTACTGGCTTAAGAGTAGATTTGTCTGGGACGGTAGTAAAATATACCAATTTAAAAAATGTATATTTTCAATAGCTTTGAAATTTTTTTTTGTGAGTTTTTAAGTATATTAAATTAAATTGAATACTATAGTATGTAGTTACTAAATTTTTTGTTTTTGATTAAGTTTAAAATGAATAATATGTATATTTTCAATAGCTTTGAAATTTTTTTTTTTGTGAGTTTTTAAGTATATTAAATTAAATTGAATACTATATTATGTAGTTACTAATTTTTTTGTTTTTAAGTTTAAAATGAATAATATTATTTATTAAAATGAATATTTATACTTAAAGTTATACTTATAAAGAAAATGTTAAATTTGAATATATAATTTTTTTATTGTATATTAATTTGGTTTCAAGTATTTTTATCCTCTTAAAAAGTCATGATACCAAATGTCTGGTTTTGTATTATTTTCTGTTAATTCTTAAGAAACGTACACCATTATGCACATAAGTCTACATTTTTAAAAATTGCTATTAAGTAGCCTTTCTTCATTTTCTTTTAAAATTATCCTTTAGTTTACCATAATTTATTATTCTTAAACTCCTGTAAAATTTTAAATACATGTTACAAGCACATTGTTAATTGAAAAAAAGATATTTATAAAGGGTTATTTTAAAACTCTAACAAATGTCAAAAGCACAGAAACATAATTTAAACTTAATTGCGTTTTAAATACCAAAGTTTTCGGTTCATAACATGATAGGATTTTTTTCATCATTCCTCAAAATTGCTGAGGCTGAATTTTAAAAAAAGTACTAGATTGATATTCCCTTCCCTTGTCATTGTTTTATTGATCTGCATCCTTTAAATTCATGAGCAAAAACAATGTCTTAATCATGTAGAAATCCGAACATTCATATAAATAAGTGTAAGTGGTTATCTACCTCTGGCTTAGTGCAGAATATATAGGGAAAATGGGGCATCCTCTTATTAAGCTGACAAAGAAACATTTTTGTGCCCTTCAAAAAGCTGAACAAGATTTCTTTTTTAAATTTTTCCTAAGCAGGATAAAAAGAACATCACATATGTTATTTCTGTCTAGACATAATCATTTTTATTTATTTTTTTTTTCGGTTTAAATCAGTTTTGATAAGTTGACTCAGAATTTAAATCCACACGGAGTATTCCCACGGATCTTAAAAAGAACGCTAACAGCATGGTGGTTTTCCTCCAGTACTTTTAGTCTGTACACAATACAACGAAATCTGCCTTTACCTTGAATTTGACTAGGATATAATCCTAAGAGCCCAGAGGGACAATCGTTTGAATTGAACATGTTCTGCCGTCTTTTTTTTTTCACATTCTGATCATCTTTCTGCTGAGTAATGGCTGATTAACCTTGTGAAATTGTTGGTTTTTCTGGGTTCTTTTAAATGCTGAATCTATATTCAAGTGTTACTCTAGGCAATACAGTTATTCAGGCTTCCTAGTATCTATCAAAGATTGATAGAAATACTAATCCTTTTGGTGGTCTAATGGATTTATTCATGTTAGCAATGTTGCTACTCCATCAGCGGAATCAAAGGGCAACTTTTAAATGTGTTTCCTTGACTGTTATTTTTTGTAGTTTAATTTCAGCTTAATTTAGACAGGGTAAAACATTTCTATAGCTAGTAAGTTATTCTAATGAAACCCTGATATAAATAAATGTATGATAAATATATAATATATTTAAAAATTAGGCCCTTAAATTTGGTATTTATTCTTGATTGTTAAAGGAACCCTGCAAAAATTCAGTTCTGAAAAAAAGAACTCAAAAAACCCAACAACTTTAGGTTAATTACTCTGCAGACAGATGAAAATAATATATCTGTGATATATTAATGACACTTGATAGTAAAAATCTTTAATTATATATACAAAAAATCAAATAAAAATAGTATGGTAAGTTGTCCATTACATTACAGTGAAGTTTTCAAAGTGAAGAATTTGATTTAATCATAAACATAAATGATAATATGTATGCAGCATGTGTGTTAATATCTGTTCATATAGTTGAGATATCTTTGAAATAGGTCTTTGCATTTCCAGTGTGTTTCCAGAGGATATCCTTCCAGGCTCTGATAAAGATAGCTGTTTAATCATCTATAAAAAAGTAATTAAGTCGTAATTAGCCGGCATTGAATGGCTCTGCTGTGGTGTAATCTGCAATACTACATTATTTGTCGTCTTGGGACTAGTCTTCATGTCAGATAATGTAGTTCGGGGCTTATTATTTACAGCTCTTGAACTTCGCTCTGGGTTTGTAATGGAGATTTAAAGGTGTTTGGTGGTAGTTATATGTCCATTAGGCCTACCTCTGTCACCTGTGAGTCTAGACTAGTGTTAAGTTTAGAGCTTCCAGGGGCCCATTTTTTGCAAGTAGTTACAGTTTGTTAATTGTATATACCTTCATGATTGTTAATGCGCAGATTGGCTTCGCAGGAACTGGGCCTGCTCTCATTGTCAATGCACGATATGCATCATCATCATTTTTGGAATCAACACTGATAGAAGTAGGTCTACCTTGGTCTGAAGATGTTGCATAATAAAAGTCATATTATATCTTGGTCGAGAATTATTTATTCTAAAAATATGAATTAACTTTTGCTTCAAAAGTAGCATTAGGTATTCTATTTGTGATTTCTGATTTTACTGATTATATAAATGTAATGTTTCTCTTGATAAACCATTGGCAATTAAAAGCTGTTTTATATTAAGAAAGGGGTTACATCATTGTATACAATAGGGTATAATATGGCAAATTATCTAAGACATTAATGGAGTGTTTATAGCTAGAATTTAGGGGTCGGCTACCTCCCATGTTGGGGATGGACTTCTCAATGCATGTTATAAATGGGATTGGCAATTTGATAATGAATGATCCAAGCAGCTTCTTTTCACTCATAAGTATCCTAAAACATTATTGATTTCAATTATTAGGTTTTTTGGAGGAGTTGCTAATGGCACAATCTTGCACCGACTAAGTGTCTATTTATGGGAAGTGGAGTGTGTATTCATTATTTACACAGCCAGGCTGGGTTAAAACCTATAATGCTGAACATAATAATAGACAGCAGAAGACAATGCATGTTAGACTTGCGTTAACAGTAGTTTATCTAAAGTCATTCCCACCTTCACCTCTTTATTCCTTTTAGCACATGCTTACTGTTTTCTCTACTCATCTATGGTGTTTCTTTATTCATTGTTTATTTCCCCTGTTTTTAATCTATCTTTAGACTCCCATGGAGATCTACTTGACTTTGGTGACAGTTATCAATGAATATCTTCTCTAATTCTCCTATTCCGTTTGTCTTCAAAGAATCAACTAAAGCAAAGGATTACTTTACCTAGTATAGTAGTATCAACGCCATCTATAAAGAAACCTGTTCTTCTCCTGGAAAAAACCTTTTTGATTTGGCTTCATAGTGATAAATATGTCATGCTGTCATAATTTAAATGTATGATGTTTTGTAATTACTGTGATAGTTCCTGCTCTGCTGTTCAAAATTCTCTGGTGTTGAACCATGATAATGTTATAGTTGTGTTGACAAGTTTATAAGGAAGAAAACTAAAAAAAATATGTTGTTAGTTGTTTCTGGTAATTATTTGAAATGTATGAAAAACCTGATACCTTACCTTTTACCTGTTGGTATGTGTTAAATGAGAAGTTAAGGATTATTGTTACTGTAGCAACTGCTGCAAGTAGACTGTGACACCTACAATATATATTTTTTTAATGTAGCTATGTTAAGTCATGTTTTTGATGCATGTCAAATAAAGTTTTTTGTTTATACATGCTGGAAATTAATGATACGGTTGATTGATTCAGAGAATCATGGTTCTTAATATTGTCAATAATATATTATTTATTTTTTTAATTTATTACATCATATATATTTTTTATGGTGTACCTGGGAATTGTTAATTATATTTTTGTTGATTAAAATATTGATTAAATAAAATATAATTAATTTCTTGTCTTTACAGTGATCTCTCGGATAATGAGTTGGTTATCATATCAAGGAAGATGTTTCGAGGTGCAAATGCTCTCCGCAACTTGTAAGTAGATGTAATCTTTTAATTTTCATTTGGATATATCATATTAATTATCATTAATTATATCATTAGTCATTAGAAAGCCAGACTCTATTTCTTTCATTTTCATTTGATGATTTTTTTCAAGAGATAAAATGCATATCACAACGTCAACATTTAAGCCAAAGATATTTAGTGAAGGGCTTGGAAGAAATATCTTAATTTTCTTTGCGAACCTGTGTTTGAAATGTCAACCTGGCTCTTAATCATATACTTCATAATCTTTTATTGTTTTATTGAACTCTTTCATAATGTGGATTAATCTATACAGATATGTTAATATCTGGAATGCAATTCAATCACCTATTAATGGAAAATTTGGATTTTGTTCTAGGAAACTTGACCATAATAAGATTGTTTGTATAATGGATGGTGCATTCCGGCCGCTTAGAATGATGGAGATGCTGTAAGTATGCCTTTATTTTAGGCCAGTTAAAAATAATTTATAGTTTCACATCCCCGTCCTAATCACATTTTGGAGCTCATTAAAAAAGTTACTATTTGTACTTTTTCAAAAAAAAAAAAACAATTATTTTTCCATGGAAGATAAAAATAATGAAGATCTGATTGGTTATTTTAAAAACCTAAAAAGAGGTGGAAACATGAATGGTAGAATATATTATTACAAAAATCATTTTACTTCTTTTATAAAGAATTAAAGTTTTATTATTTACTAGCATTTTTACCACTAGTAGTAACAATATAGTAAACACCCTCACCAAAAATAATTTCAGATCCTGGATGAGAAACTAACAATTAATTTTATTTGGCCATATCTGACTTTAAATAATATCCAGTAAACCGCAGTGTATTATGTCATTTGAGTTATCTTTCCCTGGCTGGTCTTGTGCCAAACTCTTTAGTAGTTGGATTAATTAAAAAAGTACAGCTAATGTCTTGCCATGATTTTCACCTATTTTATTGACGTGCTTTCTGTTTCACTGCATCATAAACTCACCAGCTGACTCCTCATAAAGTGCCTCCAAATTCTACCAGAATTCTCCTCTGGGGTAACTCAACATAGCACCTGGCGTTAGTGAAACATCACAATTTGATTGCCATTAGCTTAAAGCCCTACAATTCATTATGAAAACATTCAATGGTAAGAGTTGAAGTGCGAAGCAGAGAAGATGGGTAGGCTAGTAGGAAAGTATGTTGAAGTTGGACAAACATAGGTGAAGTTGTATTCAATGATTGTCGAACATATATATGACAGTTAAAAATTTTTTTGTTAAATAGTAAATAATTTTGACAAATCATAGTCTTCTACATCATCATATTATTAATTTATTCATTATCATAACCACCATCATTGTTATCATCATTATTATTGCTATTATCATCATCAGACTCAGTACCATAAAATCACTATCCTCTTCATGTGGTAGTTGTGTACTTGAACATAATTTTGTGTTGGATACCAGCACTGTAATAAATAATGTCGTTGTCCGCTACGTTGCAATCATAAGCGGTCAAGAAACTGGTTAATGTCTTTTAAGAACATTATGATTCATGATGAAATAGACCTTTCGGAGTGCCAATCAAATTTAACAGCTGACCAATCAGGGCCAGGAATACGCGCGTATCTCACAAGCACAAATGTTGTCCCACAAATGCACGTGTCATTTCTGGGACCTTAGCAACAATATCCAAGGGGAGGGGCTTAGCGGGGAGGACCATTATGCCAAAAAGACCCCTTGAAAACATTTACATAGACAATAATGACTGCAGCAGTGGTGCGGCCACTGCAGTAACCGTCATTACTAACCGGTGCTACTTTCGTCATCATTGTTTTTAAAGCGTATCTGAACATTATTTCATTAGTATCACACATGACATTAACCAAAATAATTATACTATATGATGATGCTCAGGCAATGAATCAAGACTATACATTCAGTCTTTGCAGGAATCTCCCAGTTCCTAGCTGTGCTTACTTAATGTCCAGGTGCACTGAATATTGCTCTTAATTGGATGTTTTCGAACGAGTGTTCATTATGATGCGTGTACTACTATGATTGCCATGCCCCTACCTGACATGTCCCTCGGTGAATGTGTAATGGTTTAATTTGGAACCAGCATGGTATAGTTTAAAAGGCTTTTCTTATAGGATTTACTCAAGTAGTTACTCAAAGTGTTAGATTATAGCAGCTTCCTCAGTTTATGTGACCAATTTGGGGATTGCTTATACATTCATGCATGCATTTTTGTTGGAAGTATCAACATCCTGAGGGCTTTTCCTATGGTAGTAGCTGAACTTTATCTAAATTTGTCTGCTGAATGTAAAGTCCTGTCCATATTATCAAATCTTCTTTGGCAAAAAACTGTTGTATGCCCATATATAGTCATGATGGTCATGATATCATGTGACCATGACCATATTTAGGCACGTGACATGTTTTTGTCAAATAAAATTTGATAAGTCTGGACCGCCGGATAATAAGGAGCTTTCGATTTTTGCAACGACGCGATGCTAGAACGGAATCACTCATGTGTGACCGTCTTACCTGGCATCTTACGTTCTCTGCATACGTAGATTTGGTCAAATTGCGTTCCAGAATCTACTCGAGGAAGTGACCTTAACGTTCTCGCATGCGCAGATGACTTTTAGTGAGGTCATTACGTTCTACCTCCTACCGTCGTCGTACAATCATCGAAAGCTCCCTACTAATAAAAATTGAGTTTATGATAAAATAAAGTTGGAGGGATACACAAGTACGGCCGTCGCACTGGTGATCCACGACATATGATATCCATCGTACTGTATGAGACTGGTACATTATGGTTATACTGCCTGCCAATAACTTTTTTTTTAAAATAAAAAATTCTATAAATTAAACCTTGAAATGATCATTGAAGAGGATCACATGACTTATCAAAAGTTTGACATAGATTGTAGGAAAAAGAGGGCAGTTCTCAATGATTTACAGATGTTTTACTTCAAAAATCGTTTTACGGGTCTATATAAAAACTATGTTAATAATGTATTTAGGCATCCTATAATTATAAAAAAATGTTTCTTATAATTTTTAATTGAAAGCGGATAGAGGAAATTATTTAATATTATATACTATATAAGACTACACTTTTTTTTTTATAAGAACCAGTAAAATTTTTCCCAGGCTCAGTGTTCTTATTTTTTGGTCAATTTCAGGCTCAAAATGTTCTTATTTTGTTCTTATTTTACACACTTTTCAAACATACAAATGTATTATTGTGCCAGCACTGTACACTGTACTGGAATGTAGGTAAAAGTGCCCCAGGAAAAACTGGCCCCGAAAAAAAAGCCACTGAAAAAAAGTCCCCAGAAAAAAGGCCTCGGTAAAAATGGCTCCATATACACCTCCTGTACTGTATTATAGAGGGTATTACATAGTCACACCTACTGCACATAAGGTACAGATATATTTTTTGGTTTTTCTAGTTTTTTAAAATAAAAATCTCATTGGACATTTACCTCAGCCTCAATTTGTTCTTAATTTTTAAGCAATTTCAGCCCCAGTGTTCTTATAAAATGTGTTCTTATCAACAAAAAAAAGTGTAGTATGTTTATTAAATACAAAATAAGATATGATAAGCTGCTTGACTTTTTATCAAATTGTTTTTCTTCTGACTTATGTATTGATTGAATCTAGGTATCAATGGTTTCTAACTCCCATTTCTTCTTCCAGAACACTGAATAGTAACAACCTTACAAGTTTATCCAGCACCAGTTTTACTCATATGTCGTATTTGAAAACGCTGTAAGTACTGGCCTAATATTAATATGTTGCAGGAAGTAGTCATATATCAGTTATTTAGTCTTCCTCAGAAATACAGCAACATGACAGATAAAAAAAAAAAGAGAGAGAGGGGGAGGTGTTGAAAATTCCCCTTTTAATCAAATGGCAATTTATCATTACCGTATGCCTCAAAGCCACCATTAGTTATTTTTTCTGAGAATATTTGTAAAAGTCATACTTTGGTCTTTTGCTAGTATTAGGCGTAAAGTAGAGACTTAAGCTTATACCCCAGGAACTACTGTGCGGTACTTTGGAAAATTTAATCTGATGTTTACCTCACCTAGATCACAGATTTATGGTTGTATTCATTTATGAAACTTTAACTAAACTTCAATAATTTTTTTTTTTAGGCGATTATCCAACAATCGTCTTCAGTGCGACTGCCACTTAGCCTGGTTCAATGTCTGGCTTAAGCTAAACCCAAAGCTAGCCCTCTTCACAAGGTGTTATGGGCCTAAACCACTCCGTGGAAGTAATATAGATGAGCTGCAAGGTCTAGACTTTGTCTGTACAGGTAAGCAACTGAGGCTCCAAACTTAAATATTTGTAATATATATTTGAGAAAATAGGGATCAATGCAGGATAGTGAATACATAGTAATAGGAATCTGCATTTTTAAGTAAAAATGTACTTAAAAAAGACTGGTTATTTATACATTTTTTGACATCATGTGTGTTGATATTGAAATATAATTATTTTTACTGTTTAAAAAGGTAGAAGCATTTTCCCCCCAATATTTAGCAGTGGAAGAATTAAAGCATGTCTCTGAGTGTTGCCTGTTGGTGGGCTTACCGGTTTCCAGTTTTATTTTAGGAAAACACTGCAGATTGTGAAATAGAAGTACCTTTCACTTGTTAAGAAACTTTTCATCTGCACCAGTTTTAGTCCTACCTCCCTTCTCAATCCTATTTAATCAAGTCGTTCTATAGGAAGGTTTAGCTGTTCACTCCACTACCTTTCCTCTGTTGATGTTTTCCCCAACACTGGGTGATTTATGATTTCGAACACAGAACTGGTTTTTTGATGACCTCAGTCCTACAGTGGGAGATGACTTTTCATTGCCTCATGTCAAAGGTCATGCTTTTAACATTTGTAGTGGCATTGTGTTTTGATGATGTTTTCTGCTTGGAATGTTGATGTTGTTCTGAAATTTTTAAGGATACAGTATATCATCCGCAATTGCGGTTTTAGTGAACCTTTTTTATTTATGGGTACTATATTTCTGGACAAAATAAGTATGAATTTCAACTAATCAGAGTTCAGTGGTCTTTAAATGTCATCTCATTTAGCATTTAAATTTTAAGATAATGTAAGAGGGAGATAGTCTGATGAGAGAGACCAGGCACCATTGAAATCAGTCACAAGTTAACCCTTGATTCTAATAATGATAAAATGATAAAGATAATTAAATAATTATATTGAAGAGGAAAACAGCTGATTATTATAAAATATCCTTGGTTGTAGGATATAACTTGCAGTTATTCCTTTGAAGAATTTACAAACTGAGCATCCAAATTCCCATGAGTCGTCTTTTAAACCATGGCTGAAAATTTCTATACTAAAGGTTTTTGCAACATACATCTTATCAATTGCCTATAATTTGATTGCAACATGAGAGGTGGTAAAACAAGGTCGTTCCTTGTCAGTACTCAAATAGATATATAGTACATAATATACATACATATTTATACAACCTTTTCTACACCAAAAATGGCTTTGCCTTTGAAACTATTAAAATTCACAAATATGTTTTTCTTGTTTGTAATTTATATTTGTTTTTAATTTTTATATATTTTTATATTGTATTTTATAAACCAATTTTAAAATCTTAGTCCTATATTGTGCAATTCATGAAATCTCAGCATTTGGCATCATTTTATCAGCAAAGGAATATTTGTTCAAAGTTTGTTTAAAAGAATAATCAATAACATTCCTTTAATTGGCAAGGCATTCTGAAGTCAGAATCTATGAACTACGATTTGGTATCAATTTTCTTCATTTTGGCTATTATTCAATGAGATTTAGTAGTTACTGCCAATTCATTCGGTACACATTCACTGATAAAACTGTCCCCAACCATAGGAATACGTATGCACACATCCAACTGAACTCCCTACTGGATGTAGGCTACTATGACTGTCCCTCCCCCTTTAGACTTAAAGACCTTATCTTATAAATACATACAAACCAAATTTAATATATTTCAATGCATGGCAGGGAGATTACATCAATTCCTTATGTGTTTTATAGGTTGTAAGAATTCAGGAAGGAATTCTATGAGAATGAGTTTGGCAATTTAGCTTAATATTCCTCTATGATTAATCTTTTAATGGCCATATCTAAAATCAGTTATTACTTTGTATCCTCTCTAGATATGACCTGAATTTACACCCTTCCAAAAAAAATTCTCATATATTGGCATCATTAGCATCTTTTACATATTATATAGAATTATAATGATTTTTTTTTTCTCACATTGATCTTTTGTTTTTATTGAAAATCACTTATGGGTATAAATTGGCCGGATTCCTACTATATACAAGAATTGATACCTTGCCTTGTAGTCTATCCCCCCTACTAGTGATACTGATATATCTGTTTTTTAAGGTAAAAATGTGTATGCAGCCCCAAGAATACAGTGCTAATAAACTAAGGCCAAATATATGCCCACGCTTAAATCATAATCATTTAAAGTGCTCCGGGAAAGCTGTAAACAATTAGACAGAACTTCAGGTACCTGTAAAAGGCTCTACATGTTTGGATCACCTTGAGATGTACAGTATAGTATATGCAGTAGTCTGTTAACCAGGATATTTTTGAAAATATTATGTGATTTTTATGTATTGATATTTTACTACTTAGTGGAAATTTATTTGTAAAAGTATATCTTTTAGTTGTGAAGTTAAATAATAATATTGTAGGAAAACCTTGTTCTATTGATTTAATTAAGAGAGGTATCTTTACTGTATTTTTATCTGAATTGTTAATTTGCAAAGAAAAAAAAAATCATTTTTGTAGAGGGTGACCTTTACAGCTTATACTATCCCAGGGTTGGCTGATATTCAGGAGCCTATTTAACAAATATTGTGATGCATCTCTACCACTTACTTCACTGCCAATACAAAATGTACAGCATTTGGAATGTGTCTGCATTTCTGCTTAGATTTTCTGGTCCCAGGGCAAAAGACTACCTCCCAAATTTGACCCACTTTTCAAGTTGGCTTCTTAGCTATGTCAATAATCCTATCCTATGTAGTACATGAATGAACAGCTATAGGGCCTACCCTTGATCTTAGCCATGGGGTTTCTAATGATGTTTATATTGTTAACAGATGATTAAAGGTATCGGTGCCTCACTAATTATTTATTGGAAAATTAATTGATTATATCAATTATGATAAAGATATAATACAGTTACACTTAATAAGATTATTACTATAATCTGTTTATCATTGATTAAATCTTTAGAACTATTCATTCTTTTTGAGCTAATTACATCACTACTTCAAGTTTATTGTTCTATCAGGAATTAAATTTACTGTTTCCATGTTATTTATGATACTCTCTCTCAACTTCTGACTCATTTTCTAAGATATTTAGAGCGAAATTCAGGTGAGTCACCATCCTGAGAGGCATTTGTCTTTCGTCGCCAGTTCTCTTCCAACAATAGTGAAAAAAAAACCTAAAATGAAATCTTCTTGAATTGTTCTTGATTTTTAATGAGATGAATTGATAAGAGCGCCTGGAGTGTTCCCACTGGGGGCAGAGACATTGTGGATACACCATTGGAAACATATACAGTACTGTTAGAGTCATATAGGTAGGAGAGGTGTTTCAGGCCACTTAGCACTGATGAACTGTTTGTTCCTCAGGTTGAACTTTTGCCAAAGAGTGGGTAGTCATTCATGGCAATAGATCAGAAGAGCATTACTACAAACCTTCTCCACTTTTTACTTTTGTTTTGATCAGGTGTCTCTGTCGGAGATTTTTGCAGTTTGCTATATCATTTATTCATTTTTTATAATGTTCTTTTCGGATGTGAAGCACATAATTAACATAATTAATCTTTGTCTATGATGTCTTCTGAGTAATGTTGCCTTTGTCTAATTCCCAACCATATGGTACAATCTTCTGTTTTTCCACAAATGTTTTTTTTTCTCTTTTTAGTCACTTTCATGAGCCTCATAATGCAGTTTAGATTACTTGTGTTATTATTTATTCTGGCAAAGTATCCAAGATATATACAAAGCAAAAACATCTTGAGGAAAGGTATTAATGTTAATTAATGATATTATTAATATGTAAATTAAAGATTCAATTTAAAAAGTAGCATATATGATATAAGATTATAGGAATATAATTCTATAGGCTTATATTAATATATGTCGCATAAGTTTAGAAAAACACTTGTCTACTTCGTTCGGAGTAATGCCATTATTGCGGAAGCTACAATATTCCATTTGCATTACTTATCAGCATCAATGATTGCCAAAACGTTACAATTACACGATGTCATCATCGTAAATTTTCAACATAAGGTGAATTCACTTTTAAGAGTGTCTATAAACTTAAATGATGTATTATTATCATCTTTGCATCTCAATCCATTGTTTCTAAAATTCCCTAAGAAGCTATTAACTAAAAAATTAATGAATTTTTCATTAAAAAATTATTCAATTTTTGCTTCACTGAACCTTTAACGGCAACATGCAAATAATTTTGTATAGAATTACAACTTTAATAGACCCCAAGGCAAACTTGAATAATATTGAATATCCATGGTGATTTCATATCATAACAGAGGCATTTAAACTTTGTCCTACAAAAGTAGGCTACCATGAATGATTAATGAAGGAATTAATGTAGTAAAGAATGAAAAAAAGATGTAATGAAAAAATAATGTGAAATTGTAAATATATAAAGTACACTAATACAGTTTTATCTGCCAAACTCGACAGATAATAATCAGACTTAGCATATTTATTAGAGCTGAATGACAGGCTAAAATATATAGGCCTATAGTAGGCAGAATACTGTAGTTAAAGAAATCCAAATTGATCAAATATCTTAAGTGGAACATACACAATTATTTATATTGTTTGCATCAAACAATATTTATTGTGTTTGACAGATAAAAAGGGATTGTCTATAATGACAAGCTAAATATATAGGCCTGTCCCAGGCAGAATACTATAGTGAAAGAAATCCAAAATAGATCAGATATCTGAAGTGGGGTACAAGCAATTATTGATATTGTTTGATCAAACAATGTTTATTGAGTTTGACAGATACAAATATATTGAAAGTTCATTTTTAGTTAACTTTACATGTCCACTTGACACCTTTTGTAGTACTATTAAGGGTACTGTAATTAAAAAATAAAAAAAAAAATTGGAAAATTTTGATTTACACACTTGGCCTACACTAAATCTAAAGCCGTCGTATAGAAGTATTTTGGGATTTATCCAAGTGATAGTGATGAAGGCTTGACTCTTTAAAGTGTGGTTTCACTTT